ATTTCATCTTCCATATGAACATGATTGACACCCAGTGCAATATTGTTTTGCTGTACTGTACAACGGATTGTCAGAAAGATGTATTATAACACTGTCTACACTGTGAGTCCAAGAGTTAGTGGGTGCTACCCAGATTTAGTGGTAGATATTTTACAAAGACACCTGTCTTTTCATAATTGTGTGCCCAGTCCCAGCAATTGTACATCCTCTGTTAAAACAGCCATGTAGATGTGTAATAGGCCATCTGGGTGTGAAAATGCTCATTTTGCTATTTGTTCTGTGCAATGGCATAGATACCTTTGGTGTAACAAAAATAATAATTAAAGTTTGCATGTACATTGCTAAACACATTCAAAGGCTTTTGACCTAGAAATCAGAGTATAAAATCATTGTATCTGTAGAGCAACCCATATGGTATAGTGTAGTAGTAGAGTAGTACATGTGATATATAGCTCTGCAAAATTGATAATTTCATATTATTGTACACCTTTTACCACCTCAACTGTGTAAAACATGACCCTGCTACTGTGAAATAGCAAATGGTGTTAAACACATTCAAAAATTGGTACACCAAGACCTTGATTTATTTAGTCTCATGGCAAATACTCAAGGAAATTAATTCCAGTGGTTATAAATCTGTTGACTGAAACACAAAAAGGTGTGTGTGGGGGGGGAGGGGGGATCAAAGCCAGACAAAAAGCCCTGAAAAGAAAATTGAGTGATTGTGCAAAACAAATTTAATTAAAATCTATCAAAGCCTCTTTTTAGAAAGGGTGAATCTTGGTTAGTCTCTTATTCTGTCAAACAGTCCTTTTGGGTAGGGAAGAAAGGATTAGTTCTGTTACTCTGTTTTGAGCTGGGAATGATAATCGCTTTCCTAGTTTTGACAGAAGACAAACATAGAAGGAAGAGAAGATGAAAGATAGTAAAGAGGGGAATTATGATTTTTGTTGATGTCCTCAGGATACAAATCAGCTGGTCATTCATGAATGGATGCTCTGTGCTGGCAAGTTGGTCACAACAGCTGTTGCTGTGTATCCTAGCTTGCCTCACTGGGCAGGGATAGCATCTGGTTGGTCTGGTCAGGTCTCTCTCTTTCACTGGTTCTTCTTGGGACAAACAGAGTTGAATGGGTATCTTATCTCTCTGTACTGGTGCCACGTGGTATAGTTGATTTTATGGCCAGGGGAGGAGGTGGAGGGAAAAAAAGGGACTGATGAGAGAGAGGAAAACAATAGACTCTCACAAGTAGCAGGCTGGATTCCTTGCTGGTGGTGGTTGAATGCCCTCACTAGAGTGGAAGGGTCTGGATGTTATGGCAAACTTTCTTTCTTTCTTTCTTTCTTTCTTTCTTTCTTTCTTTCTTTCTTTCTTTCTTTCTTTCTTTCTTTCTTTCTTTCTTTCTTTCTTTCTTTCCCACAAGCCTCTTTTTTAGGCCCCCTCCTCCAAAGAGAGATCATTGGCAGAATGATTCCATCTGCTTATTATTTTATCAACTATTTAGGCCTAATTTTCAAAGTATCAGTTTTGGTCCATTAATTCCAATCTCCTTTTCCTCTTGTTTGCCAGTCATAATTTTAACACAATTTTGGGTGATATCAGTTTAAATTAAGACCATCTTTTAGTCTTCTTCTGAAATGTTTTTAAAGCAGTTCTGTGTAACAGCCATTGAAGCAATTCATGAACCCTTTACGCACTTTCCATTGGTGTGTTTGCCATGATACTAAGCAGATTGATGTCACATCAAACTCTCCACCTTGTTTAACAGAATTCAATGTTAGATGGTTTCAGGGTCATATTAACCCTTTGATTAGGTCCATTTGTTCTATCTAAATTAATACATCATCTGCCTGTTACCCAATAATCTGCCTCCTAGAGATACATCTAAGCATCCCACATCTCTGAGCACTTTCGAAGACCTGCCATTGGGAAGGGGAACGTTACAGGAAAGTTTCCTTCTCTTCCTATAACTCCATTCTATCTAATATGGATAGAACTCCAGAGTCTTCTCCCACATTGCTCTTGTCTGAGGTTCTGGACATACAATAATCCAATATACAGTATTCCAGCAACAAGTTTAAAGATTCCTCTATGGTGAATTTCAGGGCCAAAATATGTTTGTCAGATTTGTATGACTGCAAAGCTAGAACTTGTGTTCTTAATAGCATAAGGTTTTCTCAGTGCTAAGGAAGTTAGAACAGAATGCACACTGAGGTCATTATCCTTTCCATAGGGCCCCGCAAAATGTAGTCAGTTTTGATCAATTTCATGGTCAGAAGTTTCATTATTTCAGCTATTTAAATTTGAAATTTCCCAATGTTGTAATTTTAGGGGTCCTGACCCAAAATAGAGTTGTGGGGGTTCTCTGCAAACTTAATGGGGGGTGGTACTGATATCCTTACCTTTGCACTTCTGCTGGCGGCAGCACTGCCTTCAAATCTGTGCAGCTAGAGAATGGTGTCTGCAGTCTCGGAGCCCAGCTCTGAAGGCAGAACTGCCACTATCAGCAGTGAAAAAGTAAGGCTGGCATAGGCTACGTCTAGACTACATGCCTCTGGCGACAGAGGCATGTAGATGAGGCTACCAGGCATAGGAAAATGAAGCGGCAATTTAAATAATCGCCGCTTCATTTAAATTTACATGGCTGCCGCACTGAGCCGACAAACAGCTGATCAGCTGTTTGTTGGCTCAGCGTGGTAGTCTGGACGCGCGGGTGTCGACATCAAAGGCATTTGTCGACCACCCAGGTAAATCTCATCCCAGGAGGCATACCCGGGTGGTCGACAAATGCCTTTGATGTCGACACCCGCGTGTCCAGACTACAGCGCTGAGCCGACAAACAGCTGATCGGCTCAGCGTGGCAGCCATGTAAATTTAAATGAAGCGGCGATTATTTAAATCGCCGCTTCATTTTCCTATGCCTGGTAGCCTCATCTACATGCCTCTGTCGCTAGAGGCATGTAGTCTAGACGTAGCCCTAGTGTGGTACTGCCGCCCTTCTTTGCTGCTGTTTGTAGAGCTGGATCCTCAGCCAGCAGCCACCACTGTCCAGTGGCCAAGTTCTGAAGGCAGCATCCCAGAAATAAGAGTGGCATGGTATGCGATTGCTGCTGGTGGGGTGCTGCCTTCAGAGCTGGGTGCCCAGCCAGTAGCCATTGCTCTCCAGTTGCCCAACTCTGAAGTCAGCACATAAAAAAGGGTGGCAGTATTGAGACCCCTATAATAACCTTGTAATCCATCTGCCACTCCCTTTTGAGTCAGGTTCCCCAATTTGAAAAATGCTGATCTCCCTCTGTGAAATCTGTATAGTATAGGATAAAAGCAAACAAAAGATCAAATTTCATAGGTGGAGACCAGATTTCATGGTCCGTGACTCATTTTTCATGTCTGTGAATTTGGTAGTGTCCCAGTCATAAGAGTCCTCTCACCTATCCTGTATTGACCCTGGTGCACAAGATGTAAACAGCCAAGGCCATTCAGTACCTGCCTTCTTTGGGGAATCTCGCATTGCTACTAGGATTTTGACTCTCCAGGCAGTCCATTTTACCATTTTAGAATAGGCCTGTTTAATTTACTACTATTGCCTATATATTTTTCAAATTAAAGTAGCATAAATCTTCCTGGGGAATGGATCTGGGGTACGTAGGATGTATTAACCATTTTTATTTTTTGAATGCACAACACAATGATATGTTGCCTGACTTTTGTATTAATTTTTTCTTTTTTTTAAAGAAAACTGATCAGAGTAGAGTCATATGAGACTGCACCAGCCAGTGCAAACACTGTAAAATAAAAGTAGTGTAATAAACAAACATGTATCATAGAAATCACAATGCACAATTTTATTACTGCTTTTCTAATGCAAATTCTAGAAATTACCCAATGTTGAAGGCAAAACTAAGTAATGAAACTCCTAAATCAATCCTTTTAAAATTCTGCTCAATGTTTCTGCTCTGCAGAGCTGACAAGAGCTGTATGCAAATGATTTTGCTGAGGGCAAAGGAATGCTTCATCATTAACAAGCATGACCCTTCTCTCTATGATCAAAATGTAGAACATATGGCCCTTGATGTGATAGACTGTGATTGTGACCAATCCAATGCATTGCTCCTGAAGACGAAGGATAGTGTCTCTTGACACAATTGTATATTAAAAAGTAACACAATCATTAATTGTATCCACTGACACAGCAGAAATATTCCTCAAATTAATATTTCTTTAATATGACAAGGGCTGTTTTTTTAAACATCTTATGTTTAAAAAATACAAATCAGACACAGGAAAAATCCAATTACTGTACTGTGAAATATTTTGTTTCCTGCCTGCTTTCCCTGTGGTCCTTCTGGTTTATGTTAGCTTGGGTGAAAGAGCTCAAGAGAATTTTTTGATAGCTGTCGTATGAACAGTGAATAATAGGGTAAACATAGCTGTTGCTTATGCTATTTGTGCTTTTCTTCTCAAATGCTCCTCCCCCACTAAATTATTACAGCTTGCCTAAATATAGTTAGTCTTTAACAGGGTAATATATTTGCATATAGTATGAAACCATGAAGAAATAAGAAACAAATCTTCACATCACCCTTTCTGTTCAAGCCCAGCCAATAATAGTGTTATGAAAGCAGAGTTGTTACAACAGACATCCAATTTCAGTTGGAGCTGATGGAGATAATATAGAAAGCTCCTGTAAAAATTCATATTTCTGTCTGAGCAGGGACTGATATTTTGTGACCCATGGAATTTTGTCAAAACAGCCTCACAATTTTAAGCACAGTCACAGTTAAGATAACAGCTTCCCTCAGGTCCCTACGAGGCAAAACACCGAAGTTTTATTTAAGCAATGAGTAACCCCATTTTGATATCAGTGGGACTAATCACTCACTGATAATGGTGCCCACCTTAAGTGCTTCCTTACACTGTGGTCTCATAAACCATTTGCACAGCATAAAACCAGATGCTATATCTAAAATTTTGTTACTCTTTAATTTTCTTTCTCTGTACAGGTAACTCGATAGCTAAAGACAACTCAAGTCTCTCTCCAGGTTG